ATTTTCTCCAATTATGCTTCGGAAAATGCTTGAAGAAAGAATGTGTTTTGTGGCGCGACTAAAGAGCCCGAGAAACAAAGAGAGTCGCACCGAGCCCTCTAGAAGGGGAGAGGGGTGGTCGCACGGATCAGACAGAATCTCCAGTGCATGATCTGCTCCGTATGTGTGATGCTATAGACTGCGGGAAATATCTTGCTCCAACGACAAATCGTGTGAATGTAAAGCGATTTTGGGATCGATGCGTCATTTATCGCAGGGTTGCATGACCTCACCACTCCACGATAGAACCACCCTTTTCCTCTGGGATTTGTTGTCCCAAATTCGATGGCGATAAATGGGAAAAGATGCTCAGTGCTCGAGTCAGGAGGTGTTTCTGGGTTTTCGGGGGTTTGCCATTCTTCTAGAGGATCAGCAGAATTAGCGAACGTCATTCTACTAGTTGTGATAATACTGAGTAACATCAAAACAGGATTAGGTATTACTGAATGAACGCTTTATTCGATGAGTATGCATGAGTTCTCCAATATGGTTCCGCTCATAGAAGAGGGCTTTACAAAAACAGCTTGTTTTTCATATTTGAATTGTATGCAGGGAAGAAACTCTAGCGTATCACTCTCACTTCCGGCTCGAAGCGCGTTTCCTTCTGCAGTATCTCTAGAAATGTAGACTCTCACAAGCGGTGCATCAAAATTGAATTCCCCGGAACTCTATTTTTTGTTATCCATAAGAACAAAGGCGACTACTTTGTACCTTTAAACTGAGCTTATTGACTCCTTGACCCATTTTGAATACAATCTTGGTGCACCTTTCTGACATTCACACCTCGTAATCTTGAGGGACGAGGGGGCAGTTTAGCATGGCTGCTTCTTCATTGGAATTTGACGCTTGCTGCACACCTGGAGGCACTGCCGCTTTGGGACAATAGTGATCATGTAGCACAAGACCTTCGCTGACGCCGGTTGGTGCAACATGGCACCAATGGGCAGCACGTCAAAAATGGATATCGTATGCTATTCAGATTCTCAGTGGCATCAAGATGGAAGATCACACTGAATGTGGTAAATGCTCCCGTACTCGAAGTTTCAGCATTTTTCGAGAATTTTGAAGTTGTAGTAGTGGAATGGTGCCTTCGATTACAATTTGGTACAACTTGGCACACCACAAGCAGCTTTACGACCGAAACCCCTTTGGGCGTTAGTCGCCTCCCCCCTACAAACCTCCGCCATCATTCAAAGAGGTCAACAACAGACATGGAGTAGGGGCTAGCAGTCACCATTCAAGGGTACATCATCGAGTGTGCACTTCCTGTCAATTATGTACCTCCAACTTACCACCCTTCCCTGTTAGATCTGATTTACACGATTTTGCTCTGCACTTGCAGCTTACAGTCTCGTTCGCTTCTTTGGGCGTGTCAAAGGGGTCATTCGAAGCGGCACCTGCCACAATTGGTAAGAAAGGTTGGGCGCCATACCAGCGCCTTAGAATCCTCTGCAGACAAGACCTCAATTGTTCTCGTAATAGGAGACTATCATTCTGAAAAAGTAAGCCAAACCCAGCCTCCGCAACCCACTGACGCACTTCTAGTTACTGCAGCGACATTATAGCTCCCCTACTGAGAGACTATCCGAAAAACGGTTCCCATAAAACATTCTTAATCATTCTTCGCAACTTCTTGGAAACTTGGTTCCAGAACCTGCGGATCGATGAAGGTGTTTTACGTAAATCTTCCATGGAAACTTAACGGAACAGAATATAACTGCAGTTCAAGAAGTCTTGAAGAATGGAGGCGACGAGGTGTTATCGATGTATCTCAGGGCACATATTTTTTAGTGGCTGGCACAATTTTTCTGGTAAGCAGTTTTAGTAAAGATAGAAATCAGTGGTGTTGCAATCTGAAAAAGAAATCAGTGGTGTTGCAATCTGAAAACAAACTGTACGCTCACCTCCTTGTCCTTGTCATGTGCGAGGTGAATGGTTCCACAGCTGCAGTAGGGTGCCATTTCCTCCGCTCAAAAGTGCACTGAAACGAGATTGTAGTACTCGGGTACCGTTTTAGACTCCGGCTACTCTATCCTCAACGTGACCACTTGCTCCGATACCAGAATCCCGCACGGGCACAGACAATTAGTGCATTTGGCCTTGAGTAGGCGTGCGGCTGACCGTGCAGCAGCGCGTGCAGTTGAAGACGTCACTATACGCTACCACAATTCTCAGACCCGTTCCCATGCACTTTAGTGAAGAAGGCAGCTTGATGCTGCAGCTGCGGACTCACTCTCCTCGCACATGACAAAGACCGGGATCCAAGAAGGTGAGCGTACAGCTTTTCTACAAACCAGAATCTCTATAACTGAAAGCTACACATCGCCGAGTTGTATTTCAGATAGCTTGTATGCTAGTGATGATCGCATTGGTTCGTGGGAACCTTCTGAAAATTCCGTGCTACAAATTAATGTTCTTTAATGGATTCATCGACATCTTGTGCCTGATCTTAGGCACATATGTGGTTGCCTATTTTCATTATGTAAGTTTAGAATTTCAATGCTCCAATTTCTGCAATATCAAAAAGCTTCAATGATAATGATGCTTTAGGAAGGGATCGTGTTTTGCAGCAACACTACTCTGAGCCTACTCATCGGACACATATCTTGGAGTTGGTTCACTTACTCTCATATGGTAAAAAAAATGTCGTGCAGAGAAGTACTGAGCTGTTTTTCCTGTGCAGTTTATATGAGAGAAAAACTCAGTGGGGAGAGGATCACAGGGAATAGCTTTTTGCTCTAGTAACATGAAATAGACCCTAGGTGTAGAAGATTTTTCCCGCCACCGCCCACAAGGGTAAGCGGCTCAGTCCTCATAACTTGTGCTGTGAGTGGCCGTTGTGATATACTTCCTTTGAAAGCGTGGTGTCTGCCGAGTCCTCTTCCTATGCGAGATCAAAGGCTCAAGTACGGCACTGTGGAAGCGTGTCACCTTTGCCGCTCGCAATTGACGTTGTACATTGAAGTATTAGTGAAGCAAAGTAGCTGGAAGTTTTTTTGTAACTCCTCCCGCACACCATCCCTGTAGGTTATACGGCTAGCCAGGCCACAAACTCTACTGGTCTGCACCGTATAATGCGCTGTTTCTTCTACAGCTCTTTGACTGCGCGCCTGGACCCTGTGCCAGCGCATTTCTTGGTTGCCCTTGGTCAGCAGAGGTGATGGCGCGCTGCCTAAGTATGCAGCCAAAGAGCTACAGAGAACAGGTTGGCTGGTCAACGTAACAGATTGCGGACAAGTAGTGCGTTTGACGGCATCGGTCCCCCGGCATGTTCGTACCTGTGGCCTGAGTACGGGCGGAGCCATGGGAGAACTAGAGCTATTTACACCCTCCCTCCATCTGCATTCCGCTATACGTCTCTCTGCAATCTCCTCCACCTCCCACGCATTCGACACCAAAATGGTAAAATTATGAAAATTTGCTGAGTTAGTAATTAGGTTGTGCAAGGCTCGCACCGGGATGGAAATTCGGTGGAGTAGAATTCACTCAAAACATCGGACCAGCTTCAGGGCCAGCTTCAAGGTAAGTTAGCCGAAAACTGAGGTAGGGGGACATATCATCCCTTGAACGTGCCCTGTATGGCCTTGAAGTCAAGGGACGGGCGAGGCAGGATCGAGAGATGGGGAGCCCGCCCAGTTATTTCTTTACAACAATCCGTTCAAGCCTGAAGCTGCCTTGATGTCCTCTCGATAATGTGCCCTTTCGCTTAGCTCAATGAACCTCGTCATTGTATAGATTGCACGGAGCTTTGCTTTAACTCTACACGACTTTGTTGACCGAAGCCTAGGTTTCAGGGGCCCTTCTTTAGAGAAAGGATCGAAGCAATTCATGACTGTCCGTTTAAACGTCTTTGTCTTAACCCTACTGTAGTTCGTGCTCACTGTAGGCCTCCAGATAGTTGTGTTCTTGTTCACCGCAACACAGTCCGATCTTCAACACCAACCTCAAGTCAGCAATGCATCTGACTGTTTCTCAACAAAACCTTCGTGTGCAAGTTGAAGCAAAGCACCTCAAAAAACGAAGATGTTTCACATAGATCACCCCATCGCGAAAATTATGTAAGTATGCAATTTTCAGGTGCTTGGCTTGGATCAAGTTTCAGCGCTATTGTATTGGCGTTCAATCGACTTGTGGAGATGGTTCCATCTATGTCTGCAATACGCTTTCTATTTAGAGGTTCTTTCTATAGACAACTTCATAGCACCATCGAGGAGCGAAGACCCACATCCCTCACATCGGAAACAACGTGTTTGAACTATTCGAAGGAGACTGCTTCCTTTATAGTAGAGCGTATATTAAAAAAAACAGCACAAATCACATTGATAGCCCGAAAAAGAACTTAGCCTGGACCCTTTTCTTTGTTCTGTTCAGTTATAACCCCAGACCTGTTCGACAATGGAGCTCAACTGAAGTTTGACGAAATCATATTCGACGGAGGTTAGAAGAAAGGAATCGACCACGAGTTTAGCCGACCGAGCGCCAAACTGTCCTCCGAAATTTTTTAGACCAATCAATTCATCACGTAATTAGTAGGAAAGTCAAGCACTGTACACCACAAGAAGATGAGGTCAGCTAATGAGCGACAGTTTCAAAGAAGTTCAAGCTAATCTTGCGAGTCACAGTTGGAATGCGAACATGTAGGGGATGGTGAGAGGGAGCGGTAGCTGCAGTTTCTTGTTAGAGGAATCTGTGTTTTGGTCAAGAACTATCCCTCCAGCAAAAGGGTTCAAAGCTGAGCCAGTGATGGATATACTCATTGCGTGATATGCAATGTTCTACAAGTAACTTTACAGTGATTGATGATCTTCGCATACTTGTATGCATCCTTTTAGTGCCACCTCTAGGATCAGGGAGAAGTCGTTCTCTGCTCAAGTCCTCGATGCAAGTAGCGGTACCTAAGGAGACATACATTACATGGTCATTGCGGGTCGCAATGGCGGTCGACCACAGATGGAACCGAGGCGCACGGTGCGCTGAAAGGCCGCAGTCGCATTTACGACAATCTTTCCTCCTCCACGTAATTCATTCTGTGTGGTATAACCAAGTATAAACTCTCCCTCTAGCGCGTCCCTTCTCCACTCTGAATACAAACTCACTCAATTGAAAATTGCGGAACATCGTACTCATGAAAGGGATCGAACACAGCAAAAGAATGTCTTGATGTTTGTTTGACTCACATGCGCTCAGTTGACTTGTTTCTGGAAAATGCACAGAAGGCTTCTTCTTTGAATAATATTACTTATATATAAACTGATGAGGGACTTCAATGAAATAGTCGTGCACCGAATTGGCATCCGTCTTCCATCAGCTGAAATGTCAGATAAGCTAGTGTTTTTGTAGGATAAGGAACCAGCGCATTAGCGTGAACACCCCGTGAAGCCTATTTTACGTTGATAATTTTAGGCAAGTTAATCTATATGTGGATGATAACGAGTGTTGTACTAATGATTGTACGACCATTCATTACCAGGCCAACAATATACAACAGTGCAGTGGGTGCATTCACAGCAACTCCTTTCATTTCCGATGACATCCAATGGGTAGTTCTTCACTTACATCTGATAAACTATTCAAAATCTTGATGTCAAAAGAAACATTAGGAATCATGGAACACAATGAAAAAGAGTGTTCCCTAGGATAGTATTGTGCTCATCGCACTTCTTTATCAGTACCACTATTTTATCTTCGTAGGAAGTCGAAAATTACATTTCTGTATTGCTGCCTATTCACAACGTATCAGTAGTTGTGATATTGGTGATGTTGTATTCAATTATATGCTGTCACGTCATGAGAGTAAGCCGCCTTGCTCACACAAATATCGACAAAGTACAAATACAGGTAAATTACTCAATAAAAGGCTTCGGGTGTCACGCGCGATAGCGCAGTAATCCTGCAATGTATTCGCGCATCAGTTTCCATGAAATATCACTTGCCACTGTGAATGAAGAGGAGTTTTTCATGCAACGGCTGCGCATGTGATTTATTCGGTCACCAGTTGGATCGCCCGCCATCGCCACAGAAAAAAAATTTTTTTTGCAATTCCAGAACATTACCGTTTCACATTTGGTATATACCCCCCTAGTGGACGGTGGTAAAATTTTCGTAAAGGCAAGGAGTGGGAAGTGGGTATTGGATGCTTAGTGGATGAACCGAAGTGGAAGTATGGGTATTTGGGTTGTTGTAGAATAAAGCAGGTAAATAAGTAAATAAACAAATAAATAAATACAAATAAGTTATAAATTTTCGATTTCGACCTCATGTTCACTACTATTCTCATTTGTCTTGAGACAAAATTATGAACTTTTGCCCTTTACTTTTGCTGGGGTGTCTCTCCCTTACTTCATCTGGTTTCCCGCTGTCGCCGTTCAAGCATATTACCATCCTTCGGGTTGCTCAGGATGCGTTTTGAAATTTTTTACCCTTGGCACCGTTCACTTCTGCCTACGCCCCGCCCATTGTGGGCGGAGCCTAGGTTACCTTGTAGGTGTTCTGTAAATGTTGCCCATGCCACAACCATCCCAAGCTTGATCCGTTCCCAAAAGTGATTTTCCACATAGTCCCCAGTTTTCGGGTGAACACGCAAGCATACAAACACAACACACACACCACACAAAGACACACACAGACACACAACTATAGTCCCACACGAGGTTCACAATGAAATCGAACAGCCGACCTTTCAACAAAATCCTCATTTTCGGCGCCTCAAAACAAGAGGTCAGCACACAAGCGATACCAAGAAAAGACTTCGGGCTCACGGCGTTCACAACGAAGAGCAACTTCATTTCTTTTACTTTCTTGACTGAAATGCTCCAAGGATCTATATGTTTACATTTATTGGCGTAAAACTAACATCTACCCCTTTTTTTCTGCACGTGCTAGCTGCTTCCTAGGTTTACATTTACTTTTTGCCGCTAGGATGGGCGAACGGTCGGAGCTTGCATGAATCGTACTTTTACCGTTGTTTTTCTTCTTCAGTTTCTCGCTTTTTTTTCTGTTTGTCTTGTTTTATTTTTGTTGAGTATGGGACCCTGGTTGATTCGTTACTAACAGCCCCCGCCAGGTTTCACTTTCTTTTGTGCGCACCTAGAGTGCCTCGAATGAAACGAAAATTAAATGCAATGCAATTTGCTCTGAGGTCCGCTTCGTTAGCTTCAAATTCGAGGCGAAAAGCACTGCTTGCGTACTGGGTTTCTTATACGCTCTACTGATCGATAATTGGTTTAATAAGTTTCCTCCTCATTCTTGACCGCGCTGAACTTTTTAACGCCGCCTTATAGCAAGAATCACGAAATAAGCAGAACCGACTCTGAACTATGAATATGAAACAATGCGTCTGTTCACACAGCAACGATATCAACAATTAAAGGTGTTGGGTGCCTTTCAAATCATCGCAAAAAGTTCGAGCGGTAGCAGAAATTCTGATACACCCTGTGAAAGGTAATAATATCATTATACACTCTAGTTCGCTGCGGACGGTTGGGCGTGTCAGCCAGTATGAGTGTGTCACCCCGTCAAAGCCGTTCTCTGCCTTCTTGTTGAAACGCGCATGCGACAAAAAGTGGTAGAAAACGAGTAATACGAAGGATATGATACAGTATTGTCACTTGCCCGCTTCAACAACTGGTGGAGAACGAGTTTGGCACCGCGCCAAACGCAGCCGCACTGACACGCCCAACCGTCCGCAGCGAACTACACTATACTTTCTCAGTCTTCACACCTCCCACTTATTTTCATATGCTAAAACCAGGCATATCCCGTGAAAGGTCAGATTTCAATCATTCCTTAAGCAATCTCACCGTTATTGAAGGCAGCCTTATTGGAAAGAGGAACTCAGGCATTATTAGCAAACCAGTCGGATCGCCCGGCTGACGCCGAGCTCTCCTCCTTCTTTTCAGCTCGGCTTCGCCGAGCTGGCCTGGCTTCGCCAGGCGCACGGAAAGGAATTTGTTAATTGCCTGAGCTGCTCATATTGCGCGCTAGTGGTCGAATCATAATAGACAGAGTAACCTAGCGAAATCTGTACCCCTCATATTTGCAGAAGGCCTGCTGGTTTCGGCCATAACGCCCATTCTATACGTAGATCTTAGAAGTATAAAGGAAGTACAGAATATCAATATGTGTTGCACAGTAGACGAACAAATCCCGTTTTTATTACCTGCATCACAACACCAACGCTGGGCGATTAATTTGTCATTAACATGCAATCCACCTGCAAGCATGTTCACCTGCATGAATGGCTGCAGATGACAATATTTAGGCTGCGTTCGTGAATATCTCACAAACTACTTCGTTATTCGTTCTCATCAGTGATTAAAAGTTGAAAAGCAAAAAAGAAGTTAAATACTCACTGAACGCATAAAGTGTGTTCCAATATTGAAGTTTTTGATTTTTCCAAACTTCCTGTTTCAGGCGAAGTATATACCCCCCTAGTGGGATGAGTACATTTTTAGTGCTATCAAAGGAGTGATGGCTGTGGGAAAATTTTGCTTACTGAGAGGCTTTTTTGGCAGTATAGTGGTCAGAGATGTCGTGAGAATGTCCCCTTATCTTTACTTATCAACTGATAAAATTGCTTGTCACCCGTCATCAATGTCGCTATCACTAAAACTCCATAATTTCGTGGTGAAGAGGCTTCAGCATTTGACTGAGCAACAACTGCATCGTTTTCTATCAGACCCTATCAGTTATCATTTCCTGTCACCCGCCGTCGCCTTCTCCACCTTCCCCTTGATACCATTTGCTGAAATCAACGCCTAACTGATGCTATGTCCCGCGTTATGAGTGTTGTCCTTTCCACTCTAACTCCCCTTATCAGCAGCTAGCAGTTCTTGTCACCCACATATCCCTGTGCCGTAACCTATATCATACCTTGGAACAAACGCCCCAGTGTTCCAGTGGGACTCCCCCTCTGCTTCCTTCCCTTGCGCATGCTCAGATCGGGCTGAGCACGCGCAGGGGAAGGAAGCAGAGGGGGGGGGGGGTGGCACTGGGCGTCCCCCCCTCGGCTCCACCCCACCCTGCCCCCGCACGAGCACACGTCCAGCTGCCACGCCAGCAGCTCGTGCAATGGCTCGGAGCGTACCGAATGGTTGTCTTATATAGCGGAGGCCGATATCACGATCAAAACATTGGATTGATACTTCCGCACCAATTTGCCTGTTTGCCTAGCGGTCGTTTTCGCCTCCAGCGAACTCGAACCCGTGAAGCATTTTGCGGACGGACAGACATACATACATACATACATACATACATACGACCACAAAGTTACTGGTTTATAGAATAGAAGGATTATTAGCAAATTGTGACTGCAGATAATCCGCCCTAAAATATCCAATTAGGCTGTCGAGTAAAGTATCCTGTGCATAGTAGGTGGTTGGTATGAATTAAAAGTCTATTCTTTCTACACACATAGACGTCCCATCAGAGGATTAAGAGTTCCTTCTTCACACTGCAGCGGATAATCAACTCATTTCCAGCTTTTCCTACAAGCTCTCCTAATCTGCGCAAGCATCGCTATTGCAGCTAGCCTCTACGTCGTTTTAGTGTTTATTGCAGCACCTACATACCTAGTGCTCACTGCAAACGCATTCTGGCAGTTTAGTCACGGTTCGTCTCTTTTGTCAGCAATCCTTAGCCGGAACAAAATTTTTCGACAACTACAGTCATAATCTCTGCAAATGACAGGGCGCACAGAATGAAGGGCGGTGGCTTAGGACGCTGCCAAGGCGACTTTTTTTTCATCAACGGTGTCATCCAGGGGGCAGCAGTGGGTGGGAAAGGCTGTTCTAGTTGCTAGCCAATTCACACCCCATCACACTCCCTTTAAGTTGCAGGGATCACGATTGTGCGTTCCCAACTATTATGGATGCACCTTCTTTGAGTAAAAATATTATGCCATTTCAGGAGTTCCTGCTATTGTTCTAATCTGTTTGAATAAGCATATTCGAGATGATGTGAAGAGCCTTTTCAGTTGCAGGAAAAATGCTCACAATTCGTCTACTATTTCAATCACGATGACTGTTAGATAGAATCTATTTTTCGTGCCCATTGAGCATTATTGTGAACACTTCAGCCGAGATAAATTACTTTTCTCTCTTTCAACTTCAGCTCCGCTACCAACTCCCACAATGAACACTGACATAGAAGGCGGAACAGGTTCGAACCAATGAAATGTAATTGGTTGACAAACTCAGCTGTTCGGCTTGGAAGGGGCATCTCATTTTGAGCAAGTTCGCAAGAGTTTACAGATCTCATTTTGGTGAGATCTGTAAACTCTTGCGAACTTGTAGTACAGTACAAAAGAAGTAAAAGAAAAAGAAGAAGTTGTACATGTGAGGCACTCTGGTTACAAGAGTTCACAGCTTTTCATAAGGTGGCCTCTACAAGCTCCACTGGGTACCCTCTATTGCCCATACCAAGCCGAACTGCTTCCAGTCGCAAACAGTTTTGCGCCAGAACCTTCCTCATAAGGTAGAGGCGTTAAAGCACAAAGCTGCTCGATCGTTCGTGTGCTCTCCCGATACTCTCGTATGGTCGCTCTCCTTAACAACCAACGATTCGTGCGTGGCCTTTTGAAGGGACGATCCGCGATCGGGCATAGAAGATGAATATATGGCGTCGTAAGGGTAATGTAGTCCGCGACAAACAACTTGTACCGGTTTCGCGGCAAAAAATTCTAACAAGGGAAGGATGGTAGGTCGAAGTGGCCATTTGAAATGAAATGTATACCGGCTGAAAGGTCTTCGGACGGGAATTACGAAACCGTCTTCCATATCTGCTGCGGACCTCCCAGAAAGAAGTTACGGAGCTTTTTGGGGGAGAATACACTACAAATTGGCGGCGTAAGGCTGACGAGATCGTGGCAGCATGGCCGAGTGGATACGTCGTAGGGCTCACGGATGCGTGGGTTTGAATCCTTGATGCGTGTGCTCTTTTGCATTTTTTCGAAAGTGGTCCCTGTGCACTTCAAAGCTATTTTGCATAACACTTGTCCATGATAATGTCGTGATGTAATGATTCTGAACTGATGGAGCCATTGCGAACGATTTCATGGAGATCACCTCCGGCTGAAAAGATTGTCATACGAGCCGAAAACTTCCAGCAGATACGAAAACACTTCGAGATAGACATAATTCAACATTATGCCGAGTGGTGAATGAAGCTCTTGCCCATCGCGATCTCCAGCATGATTGCCACATCAACGCCACTTCATATGGAAGCATTTTCCCCACTATAATCATCTTCCTGCACAACTTCGGATTCGTTTTCCGGTCATGTCGTTTGGAGAATAAATTCATTTGAAGGCAAAATCTTCCTTTGGAGTGCACTTTTGTTGTATATGCTTTTCAAATCAAAGAAAGAAGACAACAGCCAGAAGTGATCTCTATGGAATGGTTCGCAATGGCTCCATCAGTTCAGAATCATTACATCACGACATTATCATGGACAAGTGTTATGCAAAATAGCTTTGAAGTGCACAGGGACCACTTTCGAAAAAATGCAAAAGAGCACACGCATCAAACCCTCGACCACGCATCCGTGAGCCCTACGACGTATCCACTCGGCCATGCTGCCACGATCTCGTCAGCCTTACGCCGCCAATTGTAGTGTCTCCCCCTAAAAAGCTCCGTAACTTCTTTCTGGGAGGTCCGCAGCAGATATGGAAGACGGTTTCGTAATTCCCGTCCGAAGACCTTTCAGCCGGTATACATTTCATTTCAAATGGCCACTTCGACCTACCATCCTTCCCTTGTAAGGGTGGTGCGCTTCAGTGCGAGATAGGTTCGTGCGCCCTGTTTTCTCCAGTAACTCCGCCTCCAGACTGGCCTTCAAGGTCCGCCTTTCAGTGAAAAACGAAGCTGCAGGACGAAAAAAACATGAAATCGTCACTTGTACGATCGTAGAGTTCTTATCGTTCTTATCAAGGAGTCAGCTGTGCGGAAGGGCATAGTGTTGAAGACGGAGTTAATTGGGCACGTACAAAGTGCGATAGAAATGGGATTCGTTTTGGGCACTTTGGCATGTTTTTTTTGTTTTTTTCTTCACAACTAAGTTACTCAGATCCTTGTCGCCTACATGCAAAGCCCTAGTCCACTGTCTGTGATGACAAATGATCGTGGGCTTCGCCTTCAAGGAGGAACAAGAGGAATCCTTGTAGAGCGTGTTAAACGGTTTACGCATCCTTGTAGAGCTTGTTAGACGGTTTACGCTGCTTTTTTCTTCACGAGTAAATAAACTGGCACATACCCTTCCGTTGTGCAACCTACCTGTTTTTAATCCTGAATAGGCGGTTGCGTTACAAATACATCATTAGCCAAACATGAATACCGTAAAGTCTAAAAAAATTCTCTACTTGACTGCTCTAACAGGGGAAGCTGCTGACTGTTACTTTCATGTAGAAAGAAACGCGGCAAGTGCTACTGGCAATCTCGTCGAAACAGCACACTACTTCATGTGTCCTTCAACAGGGCTGAAGCTATTGCAGTCCAGTTCACTCAGACGAAGCGGCGTGTCAGGCTGGATGAGTCTGGCGCGGTGCCAAAACCGTTCTCCAATCCTTGTTGGAGCGAGCAAGAGACAAGACTGCAATATAGTTCGTATCACTCATTGCTACCAATTGTTGTCGCGTACCCGCTTCAGCAATTCGCAGAGGAGGGATTTGGCGCCGTGGCATACTCATACTGTCTGACACGCCTAATCCTCTGCAGCGGATCAAAGTCCAGGTAGCTCGCCTTACGGGCAACTTGAAATCACTCATTCGTATCACTCGTTTCCCAACAACTGTTGTCGCGTAACTGCTTTAACACGGCAGAGAAAGTGTTTTTCACCTACACTCATACTCCCTGACACGCCCCACCGTCCGCAGCGAACTGCTCTATATTCCAACCTTTTACGATGAAAGGCTCATCCACCGCCGACCCTCGTTGCTGGAAAAGAACATTCCTTGGTATTGTGACATGTTTGTTGGGCTTTATTAGATGTTTGGGCAAGACGATTGTGACTAGTCGCGTTGTCGCGCGCGGCGCACCGTGCGGCCATGCGCGGCGGATCAGCTTGTGATTTGGGCAGAGGAGCTCATTTCAATTTGAATTCAGATTGAGAAAAGACTCCATGACAGGCGTTACCGAACTCCTCGTCCTCACAACACTTAAATCTGAATGGGCGAACACAACCCCTTAGCGGATTCCTCAGCTATGTTATCACGCGGCTCGATACCAAGCAAAACACCTACTCACAGTTGATTCTACGGTTTTAGCTGCTTCAACAAGCGCTCATAAGGCAGATTAAAGGCACCGCAAATTGCGGGAAACGGACTCAAATAGGCACAAAAAAGTGCTAAGTATCTGATTAGCGGAGAAAAGCAGCAGAAAAAGCAGTCCGAAATGTTATAGAGAAAGATAACATAGTGGCTACTAGCTAGTAGCTAGCAGCCGGTGAGGGTCGGCATGGGCCTAAGGGTGTCCATGGGCCTAATTAGTCAGCTTCTAGCGGAGTTCTTGCTGTTTTTCACATTTTGAAAGTAGCGCAGCCTCAAAAATCGCCTTCCGGATCGTCCGAAGATTTGAGGAGCATCGTAGCTATTTATACACCCGCGGATGTGCCTTTAAACGCGTTGAGATAACCGCTCCAATGCGCAGTCTGCACGCCGATAATCACCTAGACGAACAAGGATTACTAGGACTGACAGATCAGAATTCCGCGCACCCGAAGCTGAGCAGAATGTACTCTTATGAGGCCCTATCAGGCTGCAGCACACCGATCCGGATGCCCATCGCGTTCGCTCCCCCACAAATCGACGGCCGTACCTGATGCCCTTATTGTTTGCAAGTATCAAGTAAAATATGAATCGAATGGAGTGACATGAAGCGGCTACGGTGCTGCATGGATATATGAGCATATACGTGAGCATCTACCATAGCAGTTAATGGCAAGATGCCTATGGGAAACTCGTCCCAAAATTGTTTTATCAGTCGTCGAGAACTAAGGCTTTTCTTCGCAGGTTTTCGACCGTTTCACTTTATTTCTTCGTCATTTTCCCCACTATGTAGGACCCTGCAAGCGTTTTAGACCTAGTACCAAATTATCGTGCCATACACCCTTTAGTCGCCATACCTTCATTGAAGAATTGCAGGGCCGGTTTCCTACATTCAAAGTCGCGCTGGTTGTTGAAATACGAAAACGCGTTGCACAACCTCCCGCTACATCACTGACCTTTCCCCCATGAACCTTCAACGCACAAAAAATGTGGATAAAGTTTGATCCCTTTGGCCGCGTTCATAGCTTGCGACCATGAAGAAATGCAGAAATGAAGAAATGCGGAATCTGCAGAAATGACGAAAAGCATTACATACGTATCGATTTGAAGAAATGCAGAAATGCCGAAAGTGAAGAAGTGCGGAATCTGCAGAAATGCCGAGAAAGGAAAATCGATACGTATCGGTTTTTTCGTCATTTCTGCAGATTCGCCACTTTGCGCACTTGCTGTCAGTTTTGACGCGTTTCCAATTCTCAAATCGCATATTGATATATCATGCGGTCCGGCACGCATTCTATTGCGTCGCAATACCCAGGTCACGCCGCACGTCTGCGCGTCGCGGTGTGTCGGCGCGGCGACGTTGTCTGTGCGCGCGGTCAATCCTGGGTTGCATCTACCGTATCACATCTGTTGTCGTTGGAGGGCAAGGTATTAGCATTGTTCGCGCCGTCCTCACAAACTTCTGGAATGAATGTAATTCGATTCGACTTGGTTTCTTTAGCTTATAACAGCCCAGTTTTATTCCACTGCTTGCGGCGTCCATATTCGCTCCACCACTTTGGAACGTGTTCTATGTAGTTTCTACTTGGTTTTCACTGAACACCAACATCATTTTTACGGGTTACCTTGCTTCAGTGTTTTGATGGAATCTTTCTCTTTTCTAGCATAT